TCACCCCGGATGAGAATAGCCACTTCCAATGGAAAATGGATCTAGATTTTCTAGACTACATCTAGATCTAGACTAGATATCTAGATCTAGAATCTAGATTAGAACTAGATATAGAAATCTAGATTTTAGATTAGAATTAGATGGAAGAAGTTGAAGAACTTACTTGAGGCCGATGACAGCAAATCTGTCACCACCCTGGCCATCTTTCTGATAGTTTATATGTCAGTGGGAAACTGTCACTGGAATCACTGATTATGAAGTCGGCAAGGCCGCTTGGCTTGAACAAAAACACTGCTAATGACTTTCGTAGACAAGAGACATCATCATGCTAAACCGAACACTTAGAATCTAGATTCTAGTGAACTTCTCTGAACACTAGCCTGAACTCTTTGCTTGACTGACCTCACCTCTCACCATGCAAACTGAAAACAGAAAGTTCACTTTCAAGGGAGGTCACTGTAGTCTACATTGAATTTTGCAAAATACGGATCAAAATCAAAACAAACCAGCGTGAGGAGAGGAGAGGAGGCGAGTGTGTTTGAGTTTGTTTGACTTCAAAATGTCAATTCAGCTTGTGTTGTTCTAGATCTATATTTCTTCCTTTTTGTATGCAAATCAAATCAAATTTAAATTACCCTGTAAAATTTTAACAATGAATGTTCTTTCTGAGAAAACACTTAGAAATCTAGACAGGTCTATCTTGGCGCAATCAGGCCCCATCTCGAATACGGATCCAGTGCCTGGATGACTGCTGCAAAGACTCACAAAAATACACTCTGGAAAAAATGCAAAACCAGGCTCTCCGAAAAATCACTGGAGCAATGAGGTCAACACCTATAGAAAAGATGGAACAAACAACATCTATAGTGGCTCTGCAGAGGAGATGGGAATTCAAGGCCCTCTTACTTTTAGTACATACACCAATAGTGGCAATAGCCATGGACTTGGAGGAACATATTATCATATACTACACACAAGAATAGCCAGATCAAAAACCACAAGACTTAAAAGATCCAACTTCATCAAGGAAAGCAGAAAAATCCAAAGATCCCTACAGGACCATCTACCAGCCACAGTCAACTTGCTGAACCATACCCCAGAGGCACCATCATGGGAAAAGAAAAACACAAACATAATTATACACAAGTCCATTCCTATGTTCACCACAAAAGATGACAACTGCGACCTGAGCAAGAAATCCCTCACACTGTCCATGCTTGAACAAAGATACCCAGGAGAAACATGGATAAGGATTTATACGGACGGATCTGCCACTCGTGCTGTGAAAAGAGGAGGAGCCGGAGTGTACGTACTGTTCCCGGATGGACGACGACAAGCAGAGGCAGTCCCAACAGGGCGACATTGTTCAACTACAGGGCAGAGACGGAGGCTCTAATACCTGCAGCAAACATCATCAAAAATGTGGTAGATCCCCAAAGCCAAGTAGTATTCCTAACAGATGCCATGTCAGTACTGCAGGCAATCAATTCCGGCAAACTACCAAGGCTACGAAAAGTAATTGAGGACATCCCATGTTTGAGGGTCATGCTGCAATGGATTCCATCACACTGTGGTGTCATAGGAAATGAGCAGGTAGACAGGATGGCCAAACTAGGAGCACTGAAAGAGCAACCAGACAACAGCGTTAACTTCACAGAAATAAAAACTATTATAAATACACTATTTAAAGCACCTCAGACACCAGATAGCTACCATACATGAGCTGTCCCGCCAAGAACAAGTGATTATCTTCTGACTAAGAACACAACACACAAGACTGAGACGACATATGTACAGATGTTTTAGACTAGTACAATCACCAAAATGCCTGTGTGGAGAGGCGGACTGAACTGTTGAGCACATCCTTCAGCACTGCAAGGCACACAGGGCCCTGAGACAGGAAACGTGGCCAACCCCACTGACGCTACTAGAGAAGCTATACGGGAAGACAGATGAACTGAGCCGGACGGTCCAATTTATGACAGATACACCAGACTTCAAGTGTGATGCGATCGAGAAGAAAAAAAAAGAAGAATGTTTTTTCATTAAAAACAATTGAAATAAAGTTCACTTCATACAATCAATCAATCATTAATTTACTCTTTTTGAGAGTGTCAGTGATAACTCATGCAGGGCACAGTCGAGGCCTGTGACAAACTGGTATACTTCCAAAACTGCCGGTCTAGCCATACTGTGTCTTAGGTTAGGCCATATATTTGACAGATACCTGTTGAGTACACTGGTCTCATTAGATCTAGACTAGTAATTATAGTATTATTCAGGTAATACCGCAGTGTTGCGGTCCCGGAAGTCGAGTAAAAAAGCTGACTGAGTTGCCAGGGTGAAAGACCCATTTTGGACTATTTTTTGGTACTATTTTATTGTTTTTTAGTGTGCTGAGAACAGTTTTGGTACTAAAAATTAAAAACCGTCACAAACCAAAGTCACCTTCAAAGTTCCCGGGTTTGAATGCGGGTGGCGACGGAAAATTTTCTTCTATAAAATTGTCTCCTTTCACCTCCTTTCCCGCTCTCTAGGATGTAGCGCACACTAAATTATGAGATGATCTTGTTTTCCATGACAACAGTTGTTTCATCATCACATCAGAGAGATTATATGCCTAAAAGCACCTTTTTTTTGGTTTATAGATTTGTAGGCTTGATAGATTATTATGAAAAGTCTTTCTCTGTGAGAATGAACAATAGAGGTCACATTACGATCACTTTCAATTTAAATTTCTGTCTTAAGCTTGTATCACCCTCCACTTTGGATGTAGGATGTAGCGCACACTATATATATTATTATTATACCTGGACCACCCTTGAAATCCCTGCGTATTGTTGTGGGTGTATTTGTTGAATAGACCTTAGCCTTGAAAAGGAAAAAACAAAGGGGGGGGGGGGCATGATACTTGAGTAAAGATTATACACAAGCTTAAAATCCTGTCCTTATTAATTTATTATGTTGAAAATTCTTCTGTAAAAATAGTAATTTAAATTTACTAATACTCATGATGCACATGGCACTATGCTTTTAATCATCAAACTTTGAAAGTTTCAAAGGTCATCTATTCAAATCTTGCTGTGCTTTTATTTTCCTTTATTGTGTCAGTTTGATGAAAAAAAACAATGCCAAGGTCAATTAATAAATGCTGTTTGGTTGTTTTGTTCATTTGATGTGGTAATTGTTATTATTATTATTCATATTATTTTTGTCTCTCCTACTCCCACAGATTTTCCTACCAACTAAAAAGTATTAGGTGTGTCACGCACGCTCATATGACCTTATGCAGTTGCGAGCTCCGCAAAACCCTCTACTATAAAAAAATAATTTAAAAAACTACTCCCACAGATATCTTCGTGATCTGAAAAATCATGACATGATGTCTTTGAGTAGTGTTGGCAGTCTCAAACAGCTTACACAAATGTCTTGGTGTCAATATCAGTGGTGTCGCAATCTGATTTGTCAGAAGCGATGGTCTTCTTCTTCACCTCGGTTCAACTCTGTCAATATTCAAATGCTCACAGAGAGTTTGCACCAACAGATCTTCAAAACAAGTAGTAAAATTAGTAAAAATGAGTTAGGTAAAGGAGACTTAGAGAAGGTCCATAGTCATCTGAAAAAACATGGCCTATCATCATCTGGATTTTCATCCACTCTTCCGGAAGTGAATCTCAGATTGCCAGACCTACATGGTCAGAATATGAATGAGCATTTTGAACACATTGCGAGACAACAGGCAGCCCCCTACAGGACACTGGTCGAAGAACTTGCTGGTGCCTCTCTACCTCCCATGCCACGTGAATGGAACAGATGTAGAGGCTGGACAAAGTACAACAAAGATGGGACGTTTGAGAGTGTACCTTTCCCTGATGACCATGGTCTTGTTTTTGACATTGAGTGTCTAGTGCCAGAGGGTCAGTTCCCCACCATGGCGACGGCTGTTTCATCAAAACACTGGTAAGCTGAAAGGATTTCTATTTAAAATTATCATGTAACCTTTCAAAATGAGATGTTAATTGGTCACTTTTAAGGACAAGCGGGCTAACCCAGATTTCAGGGGTTTCCAGAAATCTTGACCTACACCAAATTTGGCATTGACCTCTAAAGGAGAAGTTTGGTTTCATTGGTGTGTTTATTTGTTTGGTTATAGAGAAAACTCTCCCTGCCTGTTAAATATCACATCAGAGAGATTATATGCCTTAAAGCACCTTTTTTTGGTTTATAGATTTGTAGGCTTGATAAAGGTCCACTTTGGACCTGTTTTTCACTTTGAAAAAGAAAAAAATGTACTAATTTTGATTTATTCCATTTCAAAAATTACCTTTTTGATAAAGGACAGTATTATTAACAAGCTAGAACAGCGGTCTCATTCTTTCATTGTGAAACTAGGAGAAAAGAATGATGTACAGTTATCATAATTTCACTGGCTCGCATGGTCTGTTGTCTTTTGAGAGTGTTTATTATACATGCCTTTGTAAACAGTGACATTTGATTCTTTGAAAAGGATTGTGATATTATAGTTTCTGTATGTTCCATAGAGACTATAATCACTCTGAATGCCTTCTTTCAAACATATTGATTGCTTCCTCCTCAGGTACTCATGGGTTAGTGACTTCGTCTTAGAAGATACTTTTCGATGGGCAGACTCCCCACAGCTGAAAGATCTGATACCCTTGGAGACAAAAGATGGAAGCATTGTCCCGCCCCTGAAGGAGTGGTCGTCTCGTCTGATCATCGGTCACAATGTTGGGTTTGACAGATCTTTTGTAAAGGAGCAGTACCTAGTTGAGGCAAGAACAAAAAGTCTGCTTTTTAAAAAAAAATCTGATCCAGTGTTACAAATATATATTCAATGCCATTGTCTACTCAGTTTATCAGTACACTTTATATAGAGATTCCTTTCTTTATGAAAGATAGAACATCCATAAACATTTTATGGTTAATGCTGCTGCTTTTGCTTATAAAGTTTTATTTGGCAATTCCTTGGTTATTGTAATACATGGTAGCAGTGGCGGTGGGTGAACCTAGATTTGGGTGGGGCTTAGGTTTCTTCCACTTCTTTACCACCAAAAAGCAAGCAATAAGAACAACACAGTGATGATTTTTCTATACTCATGGCGAGCCACGGCATTTTGAGAACCATTCAAACGAGAAGAGTCATCTTTGTCTGCCATCTCTTTGTTCTACGTTAAATTCTTCTGGATGGTGGGGACGAAGCCGTTTCACCTCCAAATTTCTCTAATTAGTTTTTATTTGATTATTGTTAAATCTCAGCGGCACAAACACACAGCACTCCAAACACACACCGTGTATGAGGTGGATAGGGTCGTATTGTTGCTGAAAATAGAACGCGCCTAACAAAGGCTCAATGGGTGCATAGGTAACTGTGTCACTGGGGGAAAGTGTGTCGTAAACTTTCACCCCATTGTCAGGGCTTGGAGAGCGTGAGCCCTCTGTGCAGTGTTCTTTTTTTCAAGTATTCTACCTTTTTACAAGAGGAGTTTCATTAAGGAGAGACCGTGGGAACGGGCTAGTTGATTGCTGAGCCCTAAAGACATTTGATTGGCTGTTAGGTTACTATAGTTGTAAGCGGGGACAACATTGATTGGATAAACGAGCAAGCTGCCTAGTTGATCACTCTGTGTTCATTGCGTTCGATCAGAACAGTTTCAACTGCTTATTTCGTTATTTTCATTTGCTTTGGGATAGACTTGGGGGGTGGGGAGGGGGGCTCAAGCCCGTGAGCCCTTCACTACCCACCGCCACTGCATGGTAGGTTACTTCCGATGGTCGACTGCCTCTGACTTGAAGGAAAATATCTTATGCTTTGTATTAGGAATGCATTCAGTTGCTTTGTATACTTCCTCTAACATTTCTATTTATAGATAAAAGTGTTTTTACTTGTTGTGTTGCATAGCCCACATATATATAACAATGTACCTCTGTAACTAAATCAGTGCTTATCAACCTAGGGTGATTTTGTATTTTTTGGTTAGCAGTGGGGATCACCCGGGCTGTGACAGGTGTTATTTTATGTCCTGCTTGGAAATTCATGTAGGTGGGTGGTACAAAGATTTTAACATCTTAAAAGTGACGTTGGCCATAAAAAGGTTTAAAATCATTTATACCAAGTTATACCATTTTTTTGTTTTTTTGTTCAGGGTACTCAGCTACGGTTTTTGGACACAATGTCAATGCATATTGCGATCTGTGGCCAAACAAGTTTTCAAAGACTTCTTCATCGAGCAAGTGGAAAAGAAAGCAGCAGGAAGGAAGTGGTTGAGCATGCTCAGCGGCAAAAACTCTTTAAGATGGCTTCGGTTCGTTCCAATATTGTTAAAATTCAAGTACACTACTATTGATAGAAAATGCAAATTCTATTGTTTTAGTCTTTGTTTGGTGTCTTAGTTTAAATGCTTTTGCTTATGCCGTGTGGAATTTATCTGTGTCTTATAACGTAAACAATGCTAAAACCAAGAGAGATTCCCACTAGCTGTGCACATCCACAAGTGGAGGTGGAACTTTTGAATGCTCAAAATGTGGCAAACTTTTCTCTGCCAGAATTGGTTTCGTTGGCCGTAGAAAAAGCCACCTGTCGTCTTAACCTTTAAGTCTACTAATTCTTCCATTTTGTTTTAGAAATATTCTCTTCTTCAGATGTATTGGTCATCACAGACATTGATGGATGAACTTTTATTATTTTAACTTATATAAAAAAGAGTATAAAATATTGAAGTCTCAGGGATTGCTATTGTCTTCTAGAAGTAAAGGGCATTGTGCTATTGCTGCCTGACTTTGAGGCTAAGTTTACCCCTGTACGGGAATGATCAAAACTTTTCGCTGATTTAGGCTCAGATGTAAATTTCCAAGGATTACTTTGTTCATTTTTAATTTCAATTTTGATATTGGAAAGTGCCAGAAAACAAGTGTACCTTTGAAACATTTCTCAGGAGGAGTAAAGTTTATAGCACTGAAATTGTTTGCTCTTTGTTGTTTCATCCTCACGACTGCATTGAAGAGTGACGAGTGGAAGAAGATAAGCAGTATGAACAACCTGAGAGATGTGCACCAACTGCATTGTGGTGGGGAGGCCATTGAGAAAAGCAAGCGGGACGTCTTCATGGATGGCACCATGATGGATGTCAGAGAACAGTTCCAGGTCAGGTGTCTTTATTTGCATCTTAATGAGAGATTTAACATCTGTAAAAGTAACGTAAGACAAGATGAGAAAATTTTTACTCGTTGTCTATTGTGAGTCTGGGGTTTTATTTCAGTGTCTTCTTCAGTGGTTAACGGTATTGATAAATACTGACATACCCATACACATCGCAACTAACCAAGTACATACATATATGAACATACGAATGTGAATTTGAAGTTCGCCTGAAGTTTTTGTCAGTTCATCAATTGAGCAATTCTTTACCCTTGACTGTGATTAGTTGTCACAAAAGCTGAAGGGGGGGCTCTTGTGGCCTTGAGGTTAAGGTGTTCGCCTCTCATTCAAAGGCCCCGGGTTCGAATCCGGGTAGCAACGGGAAAAATTTCCTTCTCTAAAATTGTCTCCTTTCACCTTCTTTCCTTCTCGCTTGCAATTTTCTGTCGTCTGCTTTTTCTCCACTTTCTCCCCCCCCCCCTTCACCCCCTTTGCCCCCTCCACTGGGCTCCTGACTCTTTCTGCAGCGTTTCTACTGCTACTCCTTGGCTCCTTACTGCTATCTTTCAGCCACACCCCTGGTCTTCTGGTAGGAAAAATCTACACCTAGCCTTCTTGGACAAGGGCGAAAAATCTCTGAGGTCCCGTGTGCAAGCTGTGCATGATAAAGATCCCTTGATGGTCCAAAATCGATAAGAGTAGGCTTCGGTCGCCACCTCGGCAAAATTCAAAATTTCCTACCGACTGAAAATGTTAGGTGTGTCCATGCGCTCATATGCTTATGCAGTTGCGAGCGCTGTAAATCACTTACCATAAAAAAAAAAAGCTGAAGATATTAAAAAGATCGCAATTTTTATCAGTTGCTGGTACATGTCTGATGCACATGATGATTGAGTGCCTGTTTTCCAACTAGTTTATAATATGATCAGCAATACAAAGTCAATAACTAGGGCAAATGTGTTGTGTACTTCCAGGACTTGATGACGTACTGTGCTAATGATGTGAAGGCAACCCATGAGGTCTTTGCAAGTCTCTGGCCACAGTTCAAAGAAAGGTATTGGAAAATTTTTCTTGGCTGTACAGAAAGAGTAAAAACACATGTAGATATACATAGAACGTAAATTTTATGTGTCATGACGCTGTGGAATCAGGCGCTCGTCAATTTGTGGACATTTGGAGTTATTTATATCATCTTAAAGGTTATTCATTTGCCTTACTTTTAATGAAAAAAATACCCATCTTGAATAGAAATCAAGATATTTCCGATTGAAGGAGGTGAGGACGCCTGGTTTCTGTGGGGAAATAAGCGAGAAAATGGCTGTCAATAGTTTGGTAACTCCAATTGCTAAAGAGTCCTTGAAAAATGACATATTTTGTGCCTTTAATCAATGTTTTTCAGTAAAATTCACACAAAAATATGTTTTTATATGGACGTAAAAGGGGTTGAGCTAAAAGACAAAAATTTGATAAAAATTGCCATACTAGCGGAAAAATGCCTGTTTCTCCGATTTCATTATTTTGACGAGCGCCTGATTTCACCACGCTGCCTCAAGTATTACTTTTTAAAAAATTCAATAAGAAGAGAAAAATAAAGATGACAATAACACTGGCATACAAGTTTTCAAAAAGTTTCTGCTTCGGGGATTAAACAACTTTTTTTATAAATGGATTTGAAATATTTGATTGACTTATACACTTTGGGGTATTACTTCTATAAATACAAATCAATCCACTACATTCATGTGCTGTGGCTGTGCTGCAGGAAGAGTCTCACTATACATCTGGAGATGTTCATTCCTACACAATTCAGTTTGCATATAATGATGGCATGTTATTTGTTCTGTTATGCAAGAAGTTGCAATTTTCAGATAAAGGATCCATGACATGTTTCTCCTACTAGGACTGAGCTGAATGTTTGTATTTTGCACAGATTCCCCCATCCTGTGACCCTTGCAGGAATGCTGGAAATGGGAACTGCTTATCTCCCTGTGCTGGACACATGGCCAAGATACATCCAAAGCGCCAACAACACCTTTGATGAGATGGAGAGAGAGCTCAAGAAGCTCCTTATGACCCTGGCTGATGATGCCTGCAGGTTGCTTCAAAATGACGAGTAAGGAAAGTCATAAGTTCATTCAAGAGGCCATTTTGAAACTGGTGCCAGTAGAGAACTGAGATTGCCATGGAGACTTTGTTTATAATGGACATTATCCAACTTTCAATTTAGTTATCCAAAATTGTTTTTGGACATAATGGTCCTCTGTGATTCATCCTACTTTTAGAGGCTTTTTGTCTTTGTTGTAATTTTGTCTTTATTGAATCCAATATAATGTAGCACAGAGCGCTAAACAGTGTTAGTTTGGTCTTGAGTTAGAAGCTTAATTAAGCTTAATCATCATTTTTCCTTTTATTATTTTCTTATACTGATTTTACAATTGTTTATGCTAGTGGGTAGAAAATGAAATTCAAATGTATGGATTCATAGATAGCAAATCTGATTCCAACTATTTGCCATGTCTCGGGAATTCAAATTGCTTTGAAAAACAGATATATATGCCTACCTAAGTGTATGTGTCTTTGTCTTTTTTACTTAAAGTGAAGACCAAACTGCTCTTCTGCAGGATCTTCTTTGAATACACTACGTTTTTGATAGAATAGTGCTGTTCTCACCTTTGGCCACCTTCTTTTATTTGTACTGTCAAACCTGTGTAAAACAGCCACCCATTGTCAATGAGAAAAGTGGCCTTATAACACAGGTGGCTGTCTTAGGCAGGATAGGCAGGATGGATCAAAATGAAGAAAGTAAATCCTTCTCATCTGAGGTTCAAACCAGGGCTGATCTCAGGCTTTGGACTGCTGTTAGGCTAATTCAAAAGGGTTTTTGTTTTCTTTTGAAAAAGGGGGATGGGTGGTGTAAGAAAGTTTTTGTGTTGTTGTTTTTTGTTGATTAGCATTCTTTTTGTTGCTGATTTTGTACAAGGGTAATATAAGCCAACTATTATGTATGTAAGAGGAGAAAGACAGAGAGCCACAGTAAAACAACCACACGGGTCGTCACCACTCGGAGAACGAACAACGCTTCTGTCGCAAGTTCACATCAATGTCCATTGTTACTTTGTTACAGATTAGGTAAACAGTAAACAAAACAGTGACTGAGTCACCTCACTCACGATGCGTGCATGAGTTGTGGGCGGAGCTTATAGGTTTTGACGGATCACGCTTCACTCAACAGCAGTTGAAAATTTATTGTTAGGCCTACCCCTTGGTCAGCTTGGGTAAACATTCACTGGAGGGACTAACAATGACGACAGGTGAATGGGTTATGACAGCCCATCCATAGCGTGAGGGCTGATTCAAAATTTATGTCAAAGGGTCAGGTAATGAGTGACCATGCCTGGCCGCCTGAGACAGATAAATTTGACCATGGGTTGATAAAATAAGGTGGCTGCAGCAGCGTTGAACAGGTGACCGTTTTACACAATTACATTATATGGAAAAAATGCAAGAGGGGGAATGGAAAGTGGCCGTGTTATACAGATGCCATTATGGGAGGTTCGACTGTAATTCTTTTAATTACTTTTCGCCACAGCCTGAAAGAATGATGGTTCTGTCATCACATTTATTTGTTTTGCAATAAAGTGAAAAAAACTTTGTCTTCTTGTTTTTGCCAGGTATAAGAACGACCCTTGGTTGTGGGATCTAGATTGGACAGTATCAGATTATCGTCTTAAAAAAACAGCAGGGAAATCCTTGGAAATGGAAGATCCTTTTGACTCAGTTGATCACGATGCTGATGTTTATCCCGATTACTTGAGAGTGACAGAGGTTAGTGTTGTTTCTTGTTTGTTTCCATATATAAGAAGATAACATTTTTATTGTGACTCCTTGTTTACTTTCCCGAGTCTGTAATGGATGAAATCGTTCTAAAACATCTTTGTTTTTTGTTTTTTTGCACTAGTATTTTTGTTTTCCAGTTCTTTCCAAGAATGGTATAAACTATTTGCTTAAGATTTGTGTGTGTGTGTGGGGAGGGGGGGGGGGGGGGGGAAAGGGGGTGATACAAAGCTCAGGTAGCATTTTGATTTAATTGTTCAATGTTGTTTATCTCCCTTGATGTAGCCTGAAATTCATACCAAAGGAAATTTGTATATTATGAAAAGATTTCAGCTTCCCATCAATTTCAATTTCGCTATGCATATGCTAAGCTGTACATTCACATGCACATACACTCAGGCACGCACGCACGCAGACACACACACACACACACACACACACACACACACACACACACACACACACACACACACACACACACACACACACACACACACACACATGGTCGAAATTGTCCAATATGGCTACGTATTGTTGAGGAGAAAAATACTTGGCTCCGTCATGGGGAAAAAAGCAATTTTTTTTTTGAGGGGGTGGGGGGAGTGATTGTTTCTACAAGTGATTTTCTTGAACAAGATAGATGGGCATTTTTTTTTTCTGTGAAAGTAGTAAAGTAAATAAACAAATTATACTTTATTGAGCCCCGAAGGGAGATTTGGGTTACAATGGCAAATATACATGAGATATATAATTAAACACACAAATATATGAATATAGAGGAAACCAAACACACAATATCGCACCAATGCAAAACAATTTCACAAACATGCCTTTGCTGGTTGCCAACAACCGTGCAGCGCCCTGTTTTTTTAGATAGGGTTATCATGTCTTACTCAAGGACACACCCCAGTGACCCTTTTCTCTGCTATTTCTGTCTTTCATTCTTATTTTTTCCCAGCACTGAATGGTTATGTTGATGTGCTTCTCTTGATTCAATCACTCAAAATAAAAGTAAAATTGTCTGTGTTGTCAGGGTGACCATGTGGCAGAAGAACACAGAAAAACAGTGAGACAAGTGTACTCATCTGCATCAAGAATACCCAAAAACCCGACATTTATGCCAGGCTACCCTGCGTAAGTGCTTTGATTACTTGAGCAAGAAATTATTTCTTAAATCTATTCTTTGCCTCCAAGTCCAATTCTGTTTGAAACTATCATGACAAAATATCAAAATAGAATATTGTTTATTGCTATAAAAATTCTCAATTAATTGGATATGTAATGTATGTCCATTCTATCAATATTGATGCTGCTCAAACATGTGCGAAGACAATTTTACGTTTCTTTGATTTCGCACAATTTTGCCAAGCCTGATTTTTTAAGGTCAATTTTGAGCGACCATATCTTGGGCATCTCTTAACATAGATAAACCATTAATGTGTCAGATGATGCAGAATTTATTTAGTTTTAAATTGGTACGCTGCATGAGTTGGTAACGCGAAGCTTTAACACGATGATTGGGCGACTACTTTTTCAAGTTTCTTTTGGACGCTGCTGTATTTTTGGGGGCTTTGCGTTGCTTGTTTTGTCATTTTAAAAAAATGGATTTTTGATCTTTTATTCTTATTCTCAATTTGCAGTTTTGTAAATAATTTCCCTTCTTTCTGCCAGATGGTATAAAGACTTGTGCCCGAGGCCGAATGATGAAGATTTTTATCCGGGCCCTTCAAACATCAGCAGTCAGTGCCGCGTTGCTCCAAAACTGATGCGCCTCACTTGGGAAGGTTTGTTCCCGCTATAACTCCGCATTCTACTCCTTTTACAGTCTAGGCCTAACTCGCTAATACCTGTGTGTGAGGAAGTTTATCAAGCAGCAACCGTTCGCTGGCAGTATAGAGAGGCAAAATTACATGTTTAATAAGAAGCATACAGCTCGGCTAAGGAATGACGGTGTGATGACGGACATCATGTATATATAGGTGTTCCTTTTTGTACATTGGCAAAATCTGGCAGTAATAGAGGCTGGAAGTTTAACAGGGTTTGACTGGGCTTTGTATATTAGTTGATCTTATTTACCAAATAATATTGAGACTTAATTTTGAAATGGTTGTGAATGTTTTGTATAAATTGGAAAAGGAAATGTGAGCGGAATACATTTTTTATCAGTCATATCTCATTTTGTGCTATTAAGTGTATCCTTATGCCGTGAATATAGGACCAGTTCACTACTGTTTTGCCTGAACTTTCATATAGCTATAACTGTTGTTTTTTTAAAAGCATTCTTAGCTGCACCCTTAAAACCTAATTCTTTTTTGCTTGTGTGTGGAAGGATGTGGTTTTTGTTTCCTCTGTTCAGCAGCCCTCTGAAGAAACTTCTTGACTGCCATGTTGGACGTCAATACTGTATTTTCATTAAACCAATGGTGTATCACTGAAAGCTATGAAACATTTATCTTTTTTTTTTTTTAGAAATAAAAAATAACTTATACATCTCAGGATTCCCGGTACATTACCACACCAAACACGGATGGGGCTACCTTGTGCCATATCATGAGGAGCTGACTGAGGTAGAAATGGAACTACGAGAGCAAGACACAAGTCCAGAAGATGAGCACAGATTTCCTCTGCAGTAAGAGTTTTTGTGTGGATTCTGTGGACTCAAGTAGGACTGTTTCTTGCTCTGCCACTCTCAACTAATGCAGCCTGCCAGACATGCCCCAAGACTTGACGTTTTACCCATTCTGTTTCTATTAGGTTATTTTCATTTTAATGAAAAACTTTTTTCTTGCAGTAGCAGACACTGAAATCTCAACCTGATAGTTGTGCATTGTCAAGTGAAAAGTAAAGGGGTGTTTAGTTTTAACGCCCCTATCAACACAATAAGGTTGTTTTAGGGGATCTGAATTTAACACATTCTGTCTCCGATAAGACCATTCCAAATGGGTTGTTGGCGCTCATATGACCTTATGCAGTTGCGAGTGCAGTAAAACCACAACTAAAACAACAACAAATGGGTTGAGAAACTTGAAAACTCCACAAAATGACCTCAATTCAAGAATTCCCTGTCTGGGTTTTGAATCAGGGCCATATGCTCCATAGTCCAGCATGATACCGACTGAGCATATGGAATGCCCTTTGTCAAGAAAATCTACATACAAAATAAATTGTGTCATAATGGAGCAAGATTGTTTGGTTTCTTTTTACTCGGAGTGTAAGTCATTTTTTAACATCACCTCCTTCATACTTGCAAGTCAGTATGTCTTTTACTTACTACTGTACTGAGTTCAGCTTTTCACAAAAATGATGATTCTTTGATAGCAGAGCAGTTTTGTATTCTTGTCTTGTTTATAGAGGATGTGTAGCTTTGAATTGTTTTTAGAAAGGTGTTACTGGTGGAAACAGGAATATTTCATGATTAACTCACTTCAGACGGGTCACACAACAGTTGCGTGACCCCCGCTGCGACGCTCGCGACGGGTCTCACAAGCCCTGCGTGACCAACTTTGGAATTTTTTTTCCGCTCTACAAATCACGCACGGATCGCGAGACCCGCCTCGTACCCTTGTTTGGCCAAGCCTGAGCTACTTAGACTTCGTTTCGTATCTCTGGGGCCGGTAGTTTTTAAGTTATTGAAGGTGAAGGACAGTGACCCCAACTGGGGTTGAACAGACCGGAACTCGCGCTTTGTTTTTTTCTATACAGCTGATAGTAATCCGACAGTCGCGTCGTAGTAACGGTCGAAGAAGTCGCATGAACAAGAATCACATAATTTCACTGTTTTCTATACTTCTGTGCGTTTTACTAGTTCTAGTGTCTCAGAATATGATGTGTCTAATAGTTAAGATCCTGGATATGTACCCGAACACGACCCGAGTCGTAGTTCTAGGGCTAGATCTAGCACTAGTACCGGTGTTGTTTTTCGCGCAACGAAATAACAACGTCGTGCTGTACATCTGTCTCATGTAATTCAGTGTATGGGTCTGAATCAATGCACAGACCAGCTTTTATATTTTCACCAAACACTCGCACATGTATACAAATCAAACCAGAACACTTTGAACTTTTATTTTTGTTGTTGCAGTGAATTTCATTCTACTTGTCACGTCTCTGGAAATTTTTCGGAAAATCAAATTCATGCCAATTTTTAAAAAATCATACAAATTAAAGTATTAGACTTAGACAACTTTAGTTTTTTGTATTAGATTAAGCTTGAACGTTACTTTACTGTGTCAAAAAATTATTACAATAGAATAATTCTGAGAGTTGTGGTGATTTATTGAAATACCCCCAAAAATGCCAGTCTGCAACGCTTGTGACTGGTGAAAGGGCCCAGTCGCAAGTGAGTTAAACCCATACTACCCCTGAAGTTTATAACTGCAGAGCTTACATAAGATTGGCAATGGCTTTTTTTGTGTGGTGCTCATGTATTATCAACCTTTGTTTTCATAGATGATGCCTCCATGAATGATTCTCATCTCCTGGAAATATTCCTGCAAATGATTATTCATTTTTTCTGTTTTCAGAGCCTTTCTTTCGTTTGTGAAAGAAAACAATCCATTGGATTATGGGTCTTTGTCGGGTGCTGATGGACTCATGGGGTCACCAGAAGCTATGAAGCATTTGGATGTAGACTTTGATCAGAAGGCCATGGATACAGATGAAAAAATACTGCATTGGGAGACAGCTTTGAGCAAGAAACCAGTATGTTATAGAGTCTACAGCTTTGGATTAGCTTGACGAATTTTGAATATTTGTGGAATAAGGATACAATGGTGGACATGCAGCTTTAAGCTCATCTGAAATATTCTAATCTTATATTTAATTATCAGACCTGCCACTCATCCCGATTTAGTCGGGATATCCCGATTTTTTTGCCCCAAATCTCAAGCATCCCAATTTTCCCGATTTCGATCGCGTGTATCCCGATTTTGTGTCTCAGTCTGCTGTTGTGCCGGATTTTTCTAAAAACATACTCTGCCTTCTCTTTTATTTTTATCGCGGGAAGCACCCATTGAACCTTTTTTCAGTAGGAACTCGGAGCACTATTTCCTGAAATATCGATGCCGCATTTAGTAGTTGACTCGCCCCAAGTTGTGTGTGATCTTTGCCCGCACTCAGAATTCTCCAATGATAGCCTGGTAACTGTTACAATTTGAAATTGGGACATACAAATAATCGATAATATTCAAAGTTCCACTGTTACTTTCAAAACAAGCCTTGTCCGAGGTCTGGTAACTGTGCGTTCACACTAAACACTCGGACGAGCGACAGTCTAACCCTTACACAACTGCATGTAACTGCGCTGACAAGACTAACATACGGCCGTTGTCGTTGCTTTAGTCTGAACGCCTTATGAGGGATAAGAGATTTGTTGGTACATTTGGTCGGTCGGCCGCCGCCGTTATCCAAGAAGTAGAATGACTGTTGCTCATCCGAGTGTTTTGTGTGAATGCGCAGTCGGACCCGTTAGTAAAATTGTTTCAATTGCGCATTCGCGTCACGTGACATGACATCGCCGTGTGAGTTCTTCGTGTCGGGGACGGGGTCAACTTAAGTTCATGTATTTCGGGAGTTATTTGTGGGGGAGGGGGGTATAGACTCTTGGACTAAGAGTGCTGGACGTGATGCTTCAGGATTTACAAAAAATAATGATTACTCCCACACACACCCGCACACACACATGCACACACACACACACACACACACACACTCACACACATGCACGCAAACAAAGAAAGACACAGAGAGGGCATAGGCCAAGTAATTTATGGACACCCCTGGAAAAAAATTTTAAGTTAGCTTTGGCAGTCACCTTGGTGATTTGCTGTTGATCCCGATGATCCTGATTTTTTTTCTCCCTGAGATCCTGATTTTGAGGTTTCATAGAGTGGTAGGTCTGAATTGTGTGCTATTTTTAGTTCTTTGTTTAAGTCTTTTAATTTTTTAATTTAATCAATTTTTTTTTGAGGGGGAGGCCCAACCTACAATGTATATTTTAAAGACTATGTGTTTGTTACTTTGACTGACTCAGTCTGTCCAAACAGAGTATGATTATTTTACGTTGATTTTTGCTAGATATTGTGTATTCCAATGTGCATTTAAAATATTTCGCAATTTTTGTCTGTCCTTTCATAAACTTGCAGGAATGCTCTACGATTGCTATTGTTTGCAGTCTACCATTTATGGTCATGGCTTAGCCATCATCATGTTAGTGTCCTATTTGATGTTACTGAGACTGGAAGTGATGATATATTTTAGAAGTTATTCTTTCGCTCTTTCTTCAGAGGAAAATCCCAGATCATGTTGGGGTTGGCCCTTTCAACATTGACATTCCTGGTGTGAGGTTCTACAAAATACCTCATAAGGTAATTTTTTTTCTTCTCATTTCACTTATGGAAGAGATAAAGAGTTGTGTGAATCTATAGTTTTTGTGCAAAAATGAATGTCTCTACATATCTTCTCACTTCAGAAAGTGAAAAACGGTGCCTGTTTTTTTTGGTTTTGTTTGTATGTGTGTGTATTGGGGGGGGGGGGGGGGTATACTATTTAGCGTAATGATTTATGATTTAGAGCTTTAAGCACATAACAAGGCACTTGTTTGTCAGTAAAAAGTTGAGTTGTTCCCGCATCTGATCTGGACATTGGGGATTGCCTTGTTAGTGAGACAGCTTCCTGGGCCTTCGGCATATTGTGGTAGGGTGGCCAGTTCCTTTCCACATCGCCTTTACTTCCCCAAATTTGAAGTCAGATACCCATTACTGCTGGGTGGGCAGGAGGGGGCAAAAAAAAATTTGTGTCCAAACTGAGGCTCGAACCTGGACTTTCCGCTTCGGAGACGAGCGCACTAACCGCTCCGCCATCGCAACTGTTTATCAGTGCTAATGTTATATTTTTGTATGCTGAAACAATAATGAATAACTGGTCCTTTGACAGCCCCCCCCCAAAAAAAAAGAGAGAGAGAGAGAGAGAGAAAGTTTAACTTTTGCAATACTATGTTTTCAACAGTAAGAAATTCATTTACTTCAATATTTGCGATATGAGTTTGTTTTTGTGGTTCAACAGAATGGAGGCCACAATAAAGTTGGCAACCCGCTGGCTCGAGATTACCTGCTGCGCGCGAAGGACGGGACTCTGAAAGCCAGCACTGGAGCTCATGCCAACAGGGCTTTACTTCTGGGCCGCATGTGCTCCTACTGGAAGAATAACCAAAAAAGAATCATGTAGGAATATATTCAATTATTGGTGTACTAAATAGCTGTACTTGACACACTGCAGATCATTTGACAGGCAGAGCTCATTGTCTCTTGTTCTGTCCCTGTAGTTTTATTTTGTTTAAATTCTGAAATTATGCAAACTGAGCCAAAAAAATGTGAAATTTTGCGATTCTGTTACTTCTAACAAAGAATGATAAAGGAAAATAATCAGAAATTATGCAAAAAATGATCAAATTTGCGGGGTGCTTAAAACGACGGGGACAGCTTGTTGGGTTGCATACTTATGTAGAAATATTGGAGGAAGGATCTGAAAAATAATTTAGTCCTCAATGTGATTCAAATCTCAAACTTCCATGAGGCAGACAAAGTTTTTGACCTACCAGACTACATTCCGGTTGACTAAGGTGTAGGCCTACTTGAAGATTTTTTTGCAACTTAGGTTTTGTATAATACCAGGTTCTTCCTATAGCATAAGTACTTATGTTGTCTAGCAGGGACAAAATATAAGTTAATTAAGATAAAAGAGTTATAAGAAAGTACTGTTGAGAGAAATTTGATGTTCACTCTGAAGAAACGATGGAGGAACAATGACTGAAAATGGTTTTTCATCATCAGAGACAAAAACTATTTAAATGCATGTGGTTTAAGAGTGAAAGTAGTTTTTGTCTTTGGTATTTTGAATGTGACTTGTTCTGACCAATCCATGGGAAATGTTATGTTTCATCCATTTGCCTATACTATAAATAAATTTAGGAAACCTCATTCAGAGGTAGAATATGGCGATGTCATTCTTCCTTTTTTTTTTTTAGCAGAGGTTCTCTGATTTGTCTTTTCTCTTGGTCAAGCCTTGCTGTGATAAAACCATTGTGCTCCTTTTCCATCGATCATTATTCAAAGCTTTGTTCATTTCTGTGGATCATTATTTCAGGGGCCAAATGCATGTGTGGTTGCAGAAGCAAGAGCTTGGCAGGACTTTGAAAAGGTGATAATATATGTGATAGTAAAAACTAATAATATAATAGATTTGTAAACACTTGGAAGAAGAGATTGGTAGTCACCTATGAGATATATCCAAATTCTTACACCTTGAAAAGCAAAATGCAACAATAGAGTATGCTTCGAAATGACTATTCAGTGATTGTTTTTCATGAGAGCAATCAGCAACATGTACTTCCTGTTTAAATCACTTCACTATGAGCAGGCAGATAATGAAGGCAATGTAGAATTATTGAGTAAAGTAATCATCGACATAGTTTGAGCTGTAAAAGATTTTATTTAGAACATTGTATGAAATCTGCGTGATAAAGTCAAGTCTGAAATTGTTGGTTTGTTTTAAGTAGGCTGAGGTGAAATGATTGTACTTTGCTCACAATTATAATTTTGTGTGATGCCAATAGCTGTTAGTTAAGACAATGGGAAGAGTGTCTGGGTGATTTTTTATTTTTCAAACCTACTTTCTCCTTTGTCTCCCCCCCCCCCCCACCCCTTTAAAAAAAATTGTGTCAAATATTTCGTATTTGATGTTATCTGGAAAATTAGATGCACAGAAGTGATAATTAAGAGTATGAATACTTGTCTTAGTAATAACACAGAAGGTATTATCCTTCCAGCCATCCGGACTACAAGTCAGACGGTTTGTATGGTGCCATTGTACCTCGTATTGTCACAGCGGGAACCATCACAAGACGAGCTGTGGAGCCAACGTGGCTGACTGCCAGCAATGCTTATGTGAGTTTGTGTAGCTTAGAAAAAATCATAATTTCACGCAGTGTGTTGTAGCAAGATTCTTGAAAGTAAGGCCTTGATAAACTTCTTATTTTCTTCTTCATGTTGCTTCTTTCTGACATAACATTCTGTTTGCTTTTCTGCACGGAAGTGTCAAAAGGACCTTACATTGTTGAGGGAGTCTTCAATTTTTGGGTAATTTTGATCGACTTTAATTTAGACCATAAAATGTATTTTTTAAAATACTGGTAGAGATACATCTGTGTCAAAAAGAAGGGACACTGCTTTTCAGGACATAATGACACTGGTTCCTCATTAAAATTTACTCAGGTATTGAGGGCCCTGTAATTAGACTCTTAGATGTTCAGTCTAGAAGTTGTGTGGCTGATCCCTGACTCAGTTGAGTCCAGTGTATTGTCATTGAGGAGACACAGTATAGTTTTTCTGCTTTTGATAAATATTTTTACAGCACCTGCATCTACTAGGGTGGGGGGGGGGAGGGCTGGCCGCTTACTGATTAAAACCGTATCTGGGGGATGATTTAGATTAGTTTGTTCCACTGCACATAATGGAGTGTTGAATATGATCTATCTTGTACATTGCAAAAACTTTTTTTTTATTCACTTAAAATCAGTCACATTATTAATATTTGAGACAACTGTAGTGGTAGCTCAACGATGACATTATGATACTGTTTGCCTTTAGACTGACAGGATTGGCAGTGAACTGAAGTCTATGATCCAAGCTCCCCCTGGTCACTGTTTTGTTGGAGCTGATGTTGACTCACAAGAACTGTGGATTGCAGCTGTTCTTGGAGATGCATATTTTATGAAAGAACATGGTAAGGCTTTTGGGTAGTTGGCGGGTGCTCTGGTGGGATTTGCTTCTTCTTTCCTATCAAACATCTATCGTCCTTTTCTCTCCCCCTTCTTTTTTGTGTTTTTTACTCTGTTGTAAAAACTCTAATCTTCGGCACTTGTAAGACCTTATTGTGTTGCAAGTGCTGTAAAACTCTTACTAAAACTAAACTGTTACAGCCTGAGATTATGTTTGCTGGTATGGTTGGTATTGATTTGCATGTTTGAATAAAGAAGATGCTTAAAAAGATAATAAAAATGTTGTTTTCTTTTTAGCAAGCTATTGGTGTGACCTCTTTAAAAAAAAGTGTAGATGTTTATGGGTGGGGGAGAGGAAATGATACACAGAAAGACATTAGCTCTATATGATTCCTGAAACCTCTTCCCTTTGTTTAAAATTCAGAAGGGGGTGGGGAGTATATTATTAGGTAGCGTAAACACGGCCTCGCGGGCACTCGCGGCCTTCCGACCGCGTGGTATCGGTAAAATCGGGGTAATTCCGATCGTTGTTTCTTTGCTCTTTCGCTATAAAACACCAAGTGCCGTACACCTTGTAAAAGTTCAGCTTTTCCTCGTTACAATGGTGTAAGTTGTTTATATGTCTGATTAGTAGGAGCTGGAAAATCGCCGACGAAAGCGAAGCCCCTCGCTGTCGGAATGCGAGGTCGGCCGGTTGAAAAATTGACACGCGTGCATTCAAATGCTTCGCGGAACGAGGGATGATTAAATACCGTCTTTTCATTGGCGGAGAACTGTAGAACTTTAAACGGGCTTTCCCGTGATATAAGTTTAGCCTTTGGCGTCTTTATAGAAAGCTTTTAAAAATATCGTCAAAATGTTTAAAGTATCCCTTTTTACACAAAATACGTATATTACCGACTTATAACAGGTATTAATTAAAAGATCAGTCCATTTTCTATTAGAATAAAGTTATTAACTTGGCATTATTTTTCATCAATCCTTCCGCGAGACTAGGAAAGCATGTGACCCTGCACGCGGGGTACACTACAGTATAGAGCCGACTCGCTCGCCGCGGGGGCCGGTGCGCCGCCGCCGGGTCAACGCTCGGTGTTTTTGTCGAAATAACGACAGATCATCCTGTTTGAGGCAATAAAATACTGATTTGTAAAGATCTCACTGTCTTGAAAAAAATTAGGCTCCATATATTTGTTAAAGTGATTGTGCTCTGTTAATGTGGAGATGTTTAGTGCACTTGGTACTTTTTTATTGTCTGTCAAACATGGGGTTGCAGCCAGTGACTGACTTCAACAAATTTGATCAAATTTTAAACAACTTCAATTTTATTAAAAATTGACGGAGAGGTTAAAGAATGGTACCAAAATGCTCAGTGGATATAGGCCTTTCAAATGGAACAGATAAATTTGGCATACAGCAAGTTTGAAAATTCAGTTTCTGGTACCTAATATTATGTTGCAACATGTATGTGTGATAGTTTCACACAGTGAGCATGAAAACATTCATGTATTTTCTTATTTTGCTGAGATTGATTACCTATGTTATTTCACAGATAAAGTCCAAAAGCTAAAAAAATGACCTTGATAGCTAGCTATGAAATCTGTGACAATTTTGATATCTATGAATTGGGAATTTTTAAATATAGAAAATACAAGGGCTTCTTAAGCTCAGAATCATGAAAATTTGGCTCTGTTGTGCTCTTAAGAATATTGATTTCTACCTTCATTTAATTCTTCATGTCAGAAGAGTGTGCGTTTTTTCTAAAAAGTGATGCTAAGATTGGGCCACAAGAATTGTATGATATTCTATAATAGATTATTATTATTACTATTGTTGTTATTATTATTATTAATGATATTTATTTCTTAGATATCTTGATTTCCTAGTTTTAGTGAGCCCTGGTATTTTCTATATAAACAATTTCCCAACATGTCTGGTATGCCTTGTAACCTTATTTTCTTTGTTTTCGTGATTCAGAAAGGTGCTTCACTCCATATATATATATGCATACCTAAAAATATATTGGGAAAAGATTGCCTCCTTTCAAACACATATTTGCCAGCTTGGCTCTTTGCAAAGTTCCTTACCTTTTGTACAACTATTAAAATTGAACTAAGGTATTAACTGCGTTAAGAAAAATATCTTATGATCAGAGTGTTTGATCTGTTATTGTATTGTGGGTAGGATGCACAGCTTTGGGCTGGATGACGCTTCAAGGGAACAAGGCAGACAAAACAGATTTGCATAGTAAGACTGCGGAGATTGTCAGCATCAGCAGAGATCATGCAAAGGTAAGTTTATGTGAGTGAGAAGAATGCTTTTAAATAGATAGTTTGTTTTTCGTTTTGGAACAGATGTGAAGGGTCTGCGGAATTAGGAGGATTCTGAATCAAGGTACAGTTTATAAATACCTGACATCCTGATAATTTAAAAACTTTGACTTTACCATTTTAAATGCTTTTTACCACAAAGAGTCCATGAGCCACATCCTTGCTTTCATGCAATTGTGAAAACGGTATTTAAACTATACTGAAGATTATCTAAATGGTCATGGTAGTGAATGTGTATTTTCTACTAATTTTATTATATTTTTTATCAGCAAAAATGGTTTGTCTAGTTCCAGCCTGACATAATAGCATAAGCTCCACTGCCTGTTCCTGATCTCTTTTCTAAAAATGTCCTGCTGAAAACCTTTTGTTAGAAACTATAAAAGATGTATGAGATATTCCAAATATTTTAAGATTTTTTTTGTTTGTTTTCAAACCTTTGACATAGCTTTTGCAATACCTGTAATACTTCTTCTCTTGCCATCTTTAAGGAGATATTTATTTCTGAGGTTTTGTATTGAGTTATGGAAAATTTGTTTGTACTTTTTTTTGACTCTTTCAATTCAGGTGATGAACTATGGTAGAATATATGGAGCTGGACAAACTTTTGCGGAGCGTCTGCTGATGCAGTTTAACCCACAATTGAGTTCTCAAGAGGCTAAGAGGAAATCTGGCAAGATGTACAAACAGACGAAGGGCCAAAGAAAGTATGAGCACTTGTGGTTCTTGAGTCTTTTGGCCAAGAATGTTTTGGTTTTGAGAAAGTACAGTTTAGATTATGAAAATTCTCTTTATCAATGACAACAACATAATGAGCTCTATACTGATTAGATAACAAAGTTATTTTCATTTTCAGGAATTTAAAAGGGTGTATTTGAACCAATGAAGGTAGGAACTATTTTGCTTTGAAAGATTTCAGAATTCTACACTGAGTCTTCATGTGTTGGTACTGTAGTCCAATTGTTTATTGAACAGATAAAAATAGAATAATTTCAAATGGCTGTTACATAGTGTGATTGCCCAGTTATATTCTGTAGGCTGTGCCTTATATAGGCCAATGATGTGTTCGAAATATTGGGCCGATGCTCTTCTGTATTTCTCGACAGATAAAGATCACCTCGGACTTGATTAAAATGTTCCAACTTTAGGATTTTTTTTTTTCAGTGCCCAAGGACAGTGGATTGGTGGATCGTAAGTTAATTGTTTGTTTGCTCTGTTGTACATGAGCTTAACAGCTAGATTGCCTCTTACAATGAAGATTATTTGTTGCTGTCCAACCGTTATATGTGAGGCAACGTGGTGGAATCAGGCTCTCGTCAATTTTTGGGCATGTAGAGTTATTGTTATCATCTTAAAGCTTGTTCACTTGTCTTTATTTGGATGAAAAAATATCCATTTATCTTGCATACAAGTTGAGATATTTGCGAATAAAGGAGGTGAGGGTCACCTGTTTTCAGAGGTAAAATTAGTGAGAAAATGGCAGCCAAAGATTCGTTATTTCCTTAGCTTAAGAGTCCGTGGCAACTGAAAGTTTACATTTATTGTACATTTAATCAGCGTTTTTCAGAAAAATCCACACAGAAATAAGTTCTTAAATGGGCATGAAAGGTGGTAAGCCAATAAACGAAAATTTGACAAAAATTCACAAACCTGCAGAAAAATTCAAGTTTCTTCACTTTGATTATTTTGACGAGAGCCTGATTCCACCACGCTGCCTCACATATAATCTTTCAACTTACTACACACATAGAATAAAAAATTCTGAAATGACAGCTGTGTGTCCTTACTTTTTAGTTTTTGATGTCTCTGCACAAGTGTTTTTTGTTGAGTATTTTTGTGGTGCAGTTTGGGGGGAAGTCTTTTGTTTTAATGGAATTTCAACTTTTTTTTTCTCCTTAATTTCTAGTTTTACTTCATTCTTAATTTTTAGAAAATTTCTTTCAGAACGTTTCATCTGTTTTTTTTTCATCAATTTCTCTTTTCATCTATAGAATTATCATACCTTGATGAGGTTTGGTTTTTCAAATGGAATTATAATCTTCCCTGAACAAAGTAAGTCTCATTTAAATTGACTGTTTTCATCTCCATGAATTTACCGCCCAAAAAGTCATGACGTACGTGCATAGCTGCCCACTGTCCCGGGCCATCCGTATTTTGTACGGATTTTCTTGAAAAATCGATGTTGTCCCGGATATACGGATTTTGACCGACGGTCCCGGAAAATAACAACTTGGCAAGCATACTTCTAAAACAGAAAAATTAGCCTTCTGTTGCTCGGGAAAATTGTAGTTTAACTATACACGCATGTGGTTTAACTATGCACACCCACCTCATGTAGCGATCCAACTTGCACTCTGGTCGCAACTCTCTGCTCTGCGCCTCGACCGCTACTCAGGCAGTCTTCAAAAGT